ATTGTTGGATCTCAGAATCAAAATCTAATCCACCCACTCTCTTGTTTATTAAAACATAAACACAACAAATAATCATGCTCTTCTCCTTCATAGATGAGATTTGAGAATCTCCTCAAGGTTCCAAATGTTATAGTGCATGAGTTGTCAGATCTTAGAAACAAATTCTAAGCTCTCTATCTCTTGTTTATTAATAAAAAAATCAATAAACAACCATTCTTTCTTCCTCTTTGCATGATACTTTGAAGTCCCTTAACACTTCAACAACATCATTGTATAAGCCTCTTAAACTTAGAACCCAATTCTAAGTTCTTTCATTTCATTTGTTGGAAGTACTAAACCAACAAATGTTGTCTTTGCTAGTAGCCTTCAAAGCCCATATAGAGGTGCCCAAATGATCTCTGTAGGGGCACAAAAGGATATAAGCAAAGCCTTAGGATATAAATCCTGGGCTCTGTTTAAAATTTTGCAATTTGAGGTGCGCCTTTGCGCAATTCAGCCCCTGAACGCTAAATTGCCCAAGCAATTTTGGGTTCATGTGAGGCTTATGCCTCACGGGATCAGAGACGCGCCTCTAAGGCGCAATTGCACAATTAGAGGTGAGGCGCACGCCTCATCAAATCCGGTCCCACATACTTAAAATTAAGTCTTTTTTTTTCCTTCCTCCCATTCGGTTCTAACTAAACCCGAAACAAAATCTCCCACAAGCTCCTCTGTTCGCGAACGTGACCGTAGCTCTCGGTCTCGCCTCCCGCACGCTCGGCCTCCCTTCCCACCACCTCTCTCCGGCAAACTTGAAGTGTCCGGCCGCCCTCTAGGAGAAGTCCACAATCGATTTTAGGTTTTTTTTTAGTTTATGGTTAGATTTTTCAAGTGAAAGAAAATCTAGGGTTTTTTATTTTTTGAATTTTTTTGTTTGTTTTTGGATTTTTGCATTAAGAAACATGGTTAGAGGCAACGAAAAGGCAAATACGTCATTGCGGCGTGACCCTTCTTGAAAATATAGTGTGCAAGTTGACGTAGGAGGCGGCGAGAAGACGTATGTGTATTTAAAATGTAATTTTTGTGATAAGGTGGTGAAGGGAGGAGTAACTCGCATTAAGGAGCACTTATCTTACTCACATAAGAATGTAGCACATTGTGCTAATGTTCCGGATAACGGGAAGGAGGAAATTACAGTTTATATGAAAAAAAAAAAATACGATGGCCAAACATTTACAACATGAGCAATTTGATGAAAAGGTCGAACATGGTACTTACTTTGGGAGCGAGAGTGGAAAGGGCTCTTCCTCCACTATACATAATAGAGGTGTGTGGGATCCTATGGACCAGTACATGACTACTCCAGGAGAGGATGGCGGACTAGCACAGATGATGCCTGCGGCGGGTACCAGAGAGGGTCGACGGCAGGTTTGCATGGATATTGACAGTTTTTTTTTAGAATGTCATACCATTTAATGTTGCGACATCGCCTGCCTACTTCAATATGCTGTGGTATGTAGGGTTGTATGGGAGAGGGTTGAAGGCACCTTCCATGTACGAGTTGCGAACATGGATTTTAAAGGAGGAGCTGCAGAACACAGAACATAGCATTGATGAGATTAAACGGACATGGATTGAGACTGTGTTACCATTATGTCAGATGGGTGGTCTGACATGAAGAGAAAAAGCTTGATTAATATCCTTGTCAACAATCCCTACGGCACTGTGTTTTTACGATCAGCTGAATCTTCAGATGAGGTTAAAAATGCTGAATTCATTTTCAATTTACTAAGTGGGATTGTTTAGGAGATTGGGGAGCAATTGGTTGTTCAGGTGGTTACTGGCAATGTCAGTGCATACAAAGCAGCTAGTCAGATGTTAATAGAGAAGAGGAAACACTTGTATTGGACCCCTGCGCAGCTCACTGCATTAATCTTATATTGGAGGAACTTGGTGATTTACCTCAACATAAGAGTGCTCTTTCAAGGGCGAAGAAGATCACAAAGTTCATATACAATCACTCATGGGTCTTAACTTTGATGAGAAAGTTTTCAAAGAAGGAAATCATCCGTCCTGCAACCACTAGGTTCGTTATTACATTTGTTTACTTCAAATCATTTTCAATTCCTAATGCAAATTTTATTCTACAGGTTTGACACATCTTATTTGACACTGCAGAGCCTGTTGGATGTGAGACAACCTCTTGAAGCAATGTTTACATCAACACAGTGGCTTAATTCTGCATGGGGGAAGAAAACTGAGGAGAAGGAAATACGAAGGCTTATTTTAAATGATAAATTTTAGGTCACTGTGACCTATGCTATATTGAGCACGAGACCCTTGGTACAAGGGTCTCGTGCTCAATATAGCATAGGTCAATGAGTTTTATTTATAATGCTATGGATAAGGCAAATGAGTTGATTGCACATAACTAAGTTATAGAGAGATTTGAGATATCATTGATGCTCGATGGGAGGTACAGTTACCACTACAGGAAAAATGCCAAAAACCGGCGATTTTTTCCGACGGCTTATATGGTAAAACCGGCGGTTTTCAAATATACCGGCGGCTTAGCGGCGGTTCTCAAGCTGCCGGTAAAAATGGCGTAGGAAACATTTACCGGCAGTTTATTTCCGGCGATTTTATTAGGCGGCTGCTTTCCGGCGGCTAACACCGCCGGTGGCTACCGGATTTTGTACCGGCGGTGTTCCGGCCGTTAAGCCGCCGGTTATTTTACCGACGGCTAACCGGCGGTCACTGTACCGACGGCATGCCGGAGGTTACAGCGACCGTCGTGCGTTCGAATAACCGCAAGCAAACGTCGGTAAACCGCCGGTAACATTGCTGTAGATGAACCGGCATGAGCATCTCTGTGTGGCTCGTACTCGCCATGTGATGTCCAAATCCAGTAATTTGGAACAAATCCCCTACGATATAAATCAAGCTTCACATTATCTGGCTTTAGGAATGCTAGATTTTTATGCTTTGAACATAGACATCTAAACATTTTATCAAACTGAAAGGAAGGCAGTTGAGATGCAACTTGAATGAAAGTTTCAACTCCCTGTATAAATTCAACTGTCAATCATTTTCGACCCGGCAACAATCTGTTATACATCCAATATCTCTCTTCTTGGATAGTCATTTGCACGTTGAAGTAAACGTACCCTACATGTTGGAGGCATAAACAATCTGTTATACATCCAAATAGATTTTTATGCTTTGAAGGACTTAATCATGCTCTAAAAGAACAAAAGCTTATCCATATGTTGCATTTA